CTGTTATTAACGTATGAATAGAATTTACTCATGACAATTGGCTTATAAGGGAAGAGTACCTAAAATTTTTTATACACACATCTAGTATTATTTTTAACCAATGTAGGATCGTAATATTTTACCCCGCTTTTGTAACTGACGTTCACAACGGTCCACTCTATCGGCATTGACCCAACAGTAATCGTTTCATTTTGGCGGCTTCACTCACCTATCAATATTCAATGACAGAGCATTATATCCATATATAATACCGAGTCATCTTAATCTAGTCTATAGGTCATCATTTCCATGACTCGTCGACCACAAAGAGTCGCAGCTCACTCTGCATTCGATCTCATACTCGACATGGTCGTTAGTTCTGATATCAATTGTTTTTAATCCGTGGGTAGAACTTACCCATAAAAATCGACTTGTAAGAAAGAATGTTCAAGAGTTTATATACACATCTAGTCTTATTTTTAACATTATTTTTATGAACCCAAGCGTTGATTAAAAAATCTCAGGATTTGTGGGGAGTTAAAACTCATAACTATTTGAACGTAACATTCAACCACGCATAGAGCCAACCTCTACAGCAACCCACACTCTATCAACATTTGCCCAATGATGAATCTTTTCTTTTGACAGATCCACTCATTTACCAATATTCAATGCGAAAACACTATACTCATATATAATACTAAGATATTTTAATCCAACCTATAAGTCGTCACTTTCATGAGTCAAACTCGTGATATGGTATTTGCTCTAATACCAATTGTTATGAACTTAATCGTTGATCCAAAAACCCCAAAATTTTTGGGGAATTAGAACTCATAATTGTTTGAACATAACATTTCACCACGCTCAAAGCCGACACCCACGGTAGCCCACTACATCAACACTGACCCAATGGTAGTCATTTTTCTTTGGCAACTTCACTCACCTACTAGTACGCAACCTAATAGCACTATGTTCATACATAATATTAAGACATTTTAATGTAGCCTATAAGTTGCCCTTCCATAACTTAAATTCATAACGTGGTGTCTGCTCATAACTATTTACATGTACACACACAACCGAAGATAATGATACCCAATTTTTTAATGACCAACAAGCACAATGAAGTAAGTGTCCGAGTTGAAGCTATAATTGTAACACGAAGCCAAAAAGAAATAGTTGGAACTTGAAATAAGCTCCCAAGAATGAAATTAAAAAACAAAAACTAATCTCCAAATGTTTAAAACCACCAAATAACTGAGCTAGTTAGGGTTTGGTATTCTAAACAAATTTTACGTGAATGACAGGCAGACTTACTTCTTGTGACATCCTTGCGTCCTCCTTTGCATCGCAAAAAAAAAAAAATAAATAATAATAATAATAAATAAATAAATAAAACAACGGAACGTAATAGAGATCAAAACGTTTCATTACAAAAAAATTAACAGCAAATGTGATATTAATCAAAATATCAAATGCAAAACGACGTAATTAAGAAATAAGCAGAGAAAGGAGGGTGTGGGCGAACCAGTGAGGCTGAGAGTGTAAAGGGTGATAATAGTGCCGGTGGTGGCGAAACCAACAATGAAGGGCCAGTTACGGTTCCACTCTCGCCGGAAAAACACCGGCCACGGATCGAATTTCCTCATTTCCCCCACTCGGTTTTCGGTGTAGCTTCACTCGAGTCGATAGAAGGCAGGGCAGCGATCGAGTAATGGAAACCAGGCACCGAGAAGAGAATCAGTCACATACTCATACCATCTGGACACACGTCCTCATAGCTCAAAAAACATGTGTTCCTCGTAATATGAACACATGTCCCACCTGGATAAAATATTTATCTAATCTCAATTCGAGGGATAATAGAAAAGAATTATAAATTTACATGTAATAAGTTTAAAATTTAATAATTTTTTAGAGTTAAGTCATAAAGGATTTATTATTTACTAATATCTTAGTTCCGATATAAATGATCAATTTTTAATTGAACTAGAGAGAAGACTAATCGAAGTACTTACAACTTCACTTGGAGTTAAACTAAAATAAAATAAAATATTCATGGTACTTCAAATGGTACCCATTTTTTTTTAGTACCATACAAGAAGTTACTCCCTCCGTTCCTAAATATTTTTCATTTTACCCAATTTTTTTTGTTCCACAATATCTGTCGTTTTATGAAATCAAAGCATAATTAATATTTTTTTTCTAAATTTACCCTTATCTATGTTTTCCAATAAGTGTTTAATAGATTAAATGTACGCTAAGTGTCTTTCATATTCTTTTCTTTCCTAATACGTATTGAATAAGAGTATTTTAGTCTTGTGTAATTATTTTTTACTCATATTAGAGTTATTTAATAGTTTCCTTAATCTTTCTGCAAAAATCTTAAACAACAGATATTTAAGAATGGAGAGAGTATTATTTTTAATGGTAAAATTAAATATTTAAAAGATAAAGTGATAATTGATAGAGAGAAGTCCATGATTATATGTAGGGGTGTTTACCCTACCATACGGGTAGGAAATATAGTTTTTCTTTCTACCCATTACTCTGTAAAAGAATTTTTTTTTTTGGCCTACCCCAGCCGATCAGGTGTGGTATTCCTATCTAACTTCATATCTGATTAATCAGGTAGGAAGTCAGATAAATGTTCTTATAGCTATTAATTTTTGGATCATTTTAATAATTTAATTAAATAATATGCATCAATTTAACAACACAATAAATTAATAATACTAAAACCTAAAACAACTACAACCATAATTTCAATAAAATATAAGAAAATATATGGACATCAATCCATTATAATTGTTAGACAAATACAATAACAATTATTTTAAGTTTAAACCATATGAAGCACATTAAAATCATAACTTCTCCATTAGATCATCAGTTTACCACAAATCATGTAACCTACACAAAAAACAAGTCTATGTTTTCGCAACTCAAACATCCACAACAATAAAAATATTATAATATAAATTATACCACACAAACACTCTTATAATTACTAAAAAAAATGTAAAAAAATTAAAAATATTTTTTTCGGATAGGGTAGGGTAGGAATGCGAAAATTGGTGGATATTCCGCATTCCTACCTGATTTAATCGAAAGACTAAAACTCTTCCGCATGCCTACCATATTTTTGTGGCTAACTGTTCAGTAGAGTGAGGTAGAGTAAAAAATTGCGGTCAATCGAAAATTTGAATACCCCTAATTATACCCAAAGACTTCCTTCAATTAATTATAACTTTTTTTTTTGTAAGTTATGATTTACATCTTAAAAAATTATAATTTGGCCAAACACAATTATAACTTTTAGTACAATACCATCGTGGATACCAATCCAGGCCCGAGTAGAACTGGAGCAAACTTTAAAAATTAAGAGTTAGGCTTGAGCAAATCAAAGCTTGATAAGCTCGGCTCGTTTAACACCCTTATTGGTCATCGAGTAAGGCTTGAACCTAGGTATTCCTCAATAGGTTGGTTAAGACTAGTGCTGATAATTGAGTCAAACTATTCGAGATTTGCTTGTTTTGGGCTCGGGCTCGGTTCATTTTCAATATGAGTCGACTTTGGACAATTTTTTAAATTTGTTTATATGTAAAATATTCAAGCTTCTCAAGTTCAACTTGAGTTCAGCTTGTTTTGGGCTCGGGCTCACTTATTTTTTAAATGAGTCGAGGTTGAATAATTTTTTAAGACTCACTTAGAAAAACAAGCTCAAGTGACTCAACTCAAATTCGCAAACTTCCGCTCGATTATTCGCCCTAGTCAAGGCCAATCAGATAGGGGAGTGATTTGCTGAAAGCATGGAAAAGTACGACGTGTTACGGCAGATTGGCAAAGGTCCTTTGGTTTTGCTCTACTCGTGAAGCATAAACATGAGCAGATTGGCAAAGTCCAGCGATTATGACCTTGTTTTGCTAATTTCTGTTTTTATCTTCTAATGCTGCTAAGTTGTACATATACAGTTTGTGAATATTAGCATCTTGATGTTACACCCATGTGAATTCATTTGAGAATTATATTTTAGTGATGACTATTACCTGTATTCTCATTTCCTTATTATAGAAATATGTGTGTGTGTGTGTGCGCGCGCGTGTGTGGAGAATGGGCATATGAGTAGGAGAATTTTAAAGTTTTAGCCGTGATAATAAGATGCTACTAAAATTATGTTTAAGTCTTTCAGTGGTTATTTCAAATTGTGGGGAAAAAAATACACTTTTAGCCACAATTAAATATTGCCACTAAAAAATAAACCGTTATCCTTCATTTTGGTAATTTTAGTAATAACAAAGTTGGTTTTAGTGGTAGAATTATTTTAATTAGCTGCAATAATTATTGTGGCAAAATATTTTATATTTAGTAACATTTTCTGTACTGTCGCTAAAATTTTCTCATTTAGTGGCAATTTTTAAAATTCCATGGCTAAATCATTTAGCCATAGCACATATTGTTGCTACCCAGTGGCAAAAAACAAAAATTATCACTAGAACACATTAGTGACAATTTTTTCACATTTTGTTACACTAATTTTTATGGCTAAATATCAAATTTCTTGTAGTGATCCCCCAAAAAATATTTAAAAAAAAAAACTAGAAATGAAAAGAAAAAGTAGGAAAAATAGATTTTTGCAACAAATTAAAGTTGTTTGTTATTGGAAATTATCAACATCTGAGTGAGATGTTGCTTAAAGATATATCGTCCAAGAAGAGAAAACAAATAAAGTACATTTGAAGACATGAGTGCAATATCATAATTCACAAGAAAACAATATAGTCAAAACATAACAGCCATGCTTTTTTATTCTCCAACGCTGTATTGTTTGAGCTAAGACATTGAGCTTGCCTCCCCATGGTAACGACCGGTTCTTTCTTGCTGCAATCTATTCTCAAACATTATATGAGCTGCAAAAAATAATTTAGCATTAATGAGAAGATGTTGATGGCAAGAGACAGGAAATACTATATTTGATGTAACATACTTACATGACTCATGAAGATAAAGTGATTTGATTAGTAATGCTTGGGAGGAGGAGGAGAAGTGTAGTAGTATGGCGGAGGAGAAAGAGGTGACGGCGGCGGAGGTGGTGATTTGTACACGTAGGGAGGAGGAGGGGATGGAGAAGGTGGTGGTGGTGAATTGTACACATAAGGAGGAGGAGGGGATGGAGATGGTGGTGGTGGGGATTTGTAGACATAAGGAGGGGGAGGAGGTGGAGATGGGGGTGGTGGGGACTTGTAGACATAAGGTGGAGGAGGTGAGGGTGATGGTGGTGGTGGGGATTTGTAAATGTACGGAGGTGGTGGTGATAGAGATGGCGGTGGTGGGGATTTATAGACATAGGGAGGAGGTGGTGATGGCGATGGTGGTGGTGGAGATTTGTAAAGATAAGGGGGTGGTGGTGATGAAGATGGTGGCGGTGGGGATTTGTAAACGTAAGGTGGAGGTGGTGAAGGAGATGGCGGTGGTGGTGATTTGTAGACATAAGGTGGAGGTGGTGATGGCGATGGTGGTGGTGGGGATTTATAGACATAAGGAGGAGGTGGAGATGGAGATGGTGGTGGTGGGGACTTGTATACGTAAGGAGGCGGGGGTGAGGGAGAAGGTGGTGGTGGTGATTTGTAGATATAAGGTGGAGGTGGTGATGGCGATGGTGGTGGTGGGGATTTGTCAACATAAGGAGGAGGAGGTGATGGAGATGGTGGTGGTGGTGACTTGTAGACATAAGGTGGAGGAGGTGAGGGGGATGGTGGTGGTGGGGATTTGTAAATGTACGGAGGTGGTGGTGATGGAGATGGTGGTGGTGGGGATTTATAGACATAGGGAGGAGGTGGTGATGGCGATGGTGGTGGTGGAGATTTGTAAAGATAAGGGGGTGGTGGTGATGAAGATGGTGGCGGTGGGGATTTGTAAACGTAAGGTGGAGGTGGTGAAGGAGATGGCGGTGGTGGTGATTTGTAGACATAAGGTGGAGGTGGTGATGGCGATGGTGGTGGTGGGGATTTATAGACATAAGGAGGAGGTGGAGATGGAGATGGTGGTGGTGGGGACTTGTATACGTAAGGAGGCGGGGGTGAGGGAGAAGGTGGTGGTGGTGATTTGTAGATATAAGGTGGAGGTGGTGATGGCGATGGTGGTGGTGGGGATTTGTCAACATAAGGAGGAGGAGGTGATGGAGATGGTGGTGGTGGTGACTTGTAGACATAAGGTGGAGGAGGTGAGGGGGATGGTGGTGGTGGGGATTTGTAAATGTACGGAGGTGGTGGTGATGGAGATGGTGGTGGTGGGGATTTGTAAATATAAGGAGGTGGTGGTGGTGGAGATGGTGGTGGTGGGGATTTGTAGACATAAGTAGGAGGCGGAGATGGAGATGGTGGTGGTGGGGACTTGTATACATAAGGAGGCGGGGGTGAGGAAGAAGGTGGTGGTGGTGATTTGTAGATATAAGGTGGAGGTGGTGATGGCGATGGTGGTGGTGGGGATTTGTCAACATAAGGAGGAGGAGGTGATGGAGATGGTGGTGGTGGTGACTTGTAGACATAAGGTGGAGGAGGTGAGGGGGATGGTGGTGGTGGGGATTTGTAAATGTACGGAGGTGGTGGTGATGGAGATGGTGGCGGTGGGGATTTGTAAATATAAGGAGGTGGTGGTGGTGGAGATGGTGGTGGTGGGGATTTGTAGACATAAGTAGGAGGCGGAGATGGAGATGGTGGTGGTGGGGACTTGTATACATAAGGAGGCGGGGGTGAGGAAGAAGGTGGTGGTGGTGATTTGTAGATATAAGGTGGAGGTGGTGATGGCGATGGTGGTGGTGGGGATTTGTATAAGTAAGGAGGTGGGGGTGACGGAGAGGGTGGTGGTGGTGATTTGTAGACATAAGGAGGAGGAGGTGATGGCGATGGTGGTGGTGGGGATTTATAAATGTAAGGAGGAGGTGGTGGTGGAGATGGTGGTGGCGGGGATTTATAGACATAGGGAGGAGGCGGAGATGGAGAAGGTGGCGGTGGGGACTTGTACACGTAAGGAGGTGGGGGTGATGAAGAAGGTGGTGGCGGCGACTTGTAATAATAAGAGGGTGGAAGGGGTATTTGTGATGGAGGAGGAGGTGATTTGTAGTAGTATGGTGGTTGTGTTGAAGGCGATGTTGGCGGTGGTGATTTATGATAGTAAGGTGGCCATGTTGGCTTGTGGTGTCGTAGTGGTGGTAACTTGTAAACATAAGGTAGCGGCGGTGGAGATGCGTAAACGTAATGCTCGTGGTCGGCATCAGCGGCGACTACATTTGAAGCTATGAAACATATTGCCAAGGCATAGAGTACCCAAGGCCATAACCTGGCCATTTCCCTCATCCCAGACTCCCAGAAACTCAGTTATCTGGGACTTCTTGGGTTTTATGTACTAGAAGACTAGGTGTGGTGTGGATGGTAGTACAAAGGGGAGGCTAGCCCTTTATATAGTGACCCCTCTGATTTCATGAATCATTTGTTAATACTATTGAAAAGTTTTCCACCTTAAACAAATCACTTATTATTGCTGTCTAACAACTGGATAATGGGATCCACCAACCCTTTTGCCAGTAAGCCAAGAAATAGTCAAATTGCATTATGCTGCAACGTTCTTGGGTGGAGTAGAGGTGGGCAGGTGTGATCTCAGTAGATAACAAACTTTCTAAACCAAAAAATTATTGTAAAATACGCTTCTAGTCTCTAAAATATGCGTTTAGTGTCAATTTGGTCCTTAAGATTCCTAATTTGTATCTACGTGGTCCAATCTAAAATGTTTGTACAAAAATCGTGACGATTTTGTTCACATGTCAATCACGTGATTGATAAATTTGTGTATATTTGATCCCTAAAGTTCCTAATTTGTGTCCATGCAGTCCAATTTCAAACACCCGTCAAAAAATCTTTAACGCTGGTCACGCGCCAATTACGTGGAACTAAATAGATACAAATTAAAAAATTTAGAAACTAAATAGACACAATTAAAAAATTGATGACTAAATAGACAGTACACGTATACTTTTGAGGACTAAAAATATATTTTACCCAAAAAATGAAACCTTAACCCCTCAATTATATCCCTATATAGCAATATCGCTCTCACAACCATCATGTTTCTTACTTGCACCTCCAAATAAAATAAATTATTAGTTTTATATTATTCTAGTTGCAAACGTTTGTTACAAATTAGATAGAAAATTGTATTGCTTTTCTCTCAAATTTTGTGGTATCAAAAAAAAATAACGCATATTTCATTTTGGGATAGTATGAAACCAATTCACATAATTGATGAATTAATATGAGTAACTCAATAGGAAAGTCCTAGAAACGGCAACAACGACGCGATGAATTAACGATCGGAAGTAGTCTCCTCGGGCATGCTCCTTGTACAACCAAGAAAAAAGCTAGTGAGCACCGGAATGGAATATTATATGTAGTGTAGAATCAAATCTGAAACTCTTTATTAGGTTTGGAATTGGAGGGATTGGAATGAGATTAGAATCAGAATTTCAGGATGCAAAATGTAATTTGTTCCCTTGGAAATTTCTGGGCTGGCGTTGACATCGAATGGCTCCAGGCAGCAGCTGTCTTTAATATGACAGATTGGCCGGGGCGGTGTTGGAGTTAAATAAAGGAAGAATTTCTGCAACCAATGGATTTGAAAATTGCATTGACCAGTCCAATGCCCTTAGTTCCATACCTTTGTATAACAAATAATGTACTAATTGGACACATAAAGTACATATGGAAATTTCGCCGTTTGTATGTCGGACCGGGATTCAAGTTTTTTTTTTTGTTAAGTTAATGTTTATATGTTTATTCTCTTGTACTATTAATCAATTTTCTCATGTATATGGTAAAATATATCAAAGTAATATAGAATTGATTCATTTTTTATTCTCTTTTTTCTCTAGTTCAACAGTAAAAAGTGTTCGAACTAACTTACGTGTAGGTGTGTCAAAATATAACACAACTTGCTATCACGACACAAAATTAGAAGGTTTTGGTCTTCTTCACTAGTTTCGTAAATGAGTAGATCTGACACGGCAAAGATTAATAGACAAATCAGGTATATGTGAAACCAATCAAAAGTAATACACGACACAACTTGTTTATATATTAATTATATACAATTGATATAAAATACAAATCTAATATGACACGACTCATTAGATGCAAATTAATAAATGAATCAGATATATGGATATAATATTTTTTAACACGAACACGATAAGACCCGCCATGAACCCGCCTCACCTGACACGATTGACAGGCCTACTTATATGCATCTCGATTAATCTCCTCCCTGGTCCGATCAAAGACAAGTCATCCACGCCAGAACTAAGATTTTTATAAGAGATTTCGTAAAGGATTACTAACTTTTGAATTCAGAATGTATAGTGTCCAGCTCATCTATGTAATTCAAATTCAAGTTGTTTGTCAATTGAGCAAAAAAGAAATAGAGAAGAATAACCGGTATATAAACAAAAATACTAGACATACAGTTCGTCTGAATTTATAGTTCGTCCATACACTTTAACTATCTCATTCACTTTTCAACAAAATACTAATTTTGACTTCTTCATTTTTATTTAATTAAAAGAATATAAATATATAAATAAATTGTAATGGGTATCTTTTTCTTTTGGTGAAGATTATAGATGCTCGGGAATTATGTCTCATTTTTTAAATGAGTATTATTACATGGATTTAAAAATTAAATTTAAAAAGTTGATTTAATAATCATAAGTTCAGAACCATTGAATAGGTTGTAGATCTCAATAAATATTAGGTGAAATCAATGATTTGATATTTTATTCTCCAATGATGTATTGTTTTGGGGTATTTTGGAGACAAACGAAGAGAAAATTGGAAACACAGGAAAACAATATGCTCATTAATAAGGTCTTTCCTTCAAAACCCCATAGTAGCAAAACATGTGCTACTATAAAAGGTTTTTTTTTGTCTTTCTCTCTCCACTTTGGCGAAATCAAACATTGTGAAAGAACACGCTCCTTGTCTCACATTCGAATACTGTAATTCCTCATCTCATATGCTCCTTCACAACATATAACCTTTTGTGTGGTTATGAAAACATCAGGCCTGGCTCCTCTGTTATTAATTTTTAAAAGCAGATGTACTGTTAATTTAATCACCATCGTTTTGGTACAAAACGAACCAAAACGACATTGTTTTAATCAACAACAATTCTGCTATTAAGTTTCTAACAACAAAAGATTCTCACCAAAAACACCAATCCCGTCTTTTGAATGAAAGAAAAATATGCTTTTGTGTGCGTGGAAACCCTATTCAAGACTTAATTTTTTTTTCGCCTGATTAATGCACCATGAAGCAATACAGCTTTGCAAATACCACAAATATATGATGCCAAAGCCCGTTCAAATTGCAAAGAAATTCATTCTAAGTGTAGGAACAACTATGTCCTACACTTCGAAGAGTTATGTTATGATTAAACCCTTAATAGGCCCTAGCATAAATAAATAATCGTCCCTATAGTTATGTCTATAGAGAATAGTCATTGTTATCTTTGGTAAATAACCATCTCTTTAAACTTGGGAAACGGAGATAACTAACAAAACCAAGCAAGACAATCCATGAACTTGTCCTCTTTTCAGAAAAGGGTTACCTCCTACACACAAAACACCTACAGAAAAATGAATGATTAAACCTTCCGAAAAAATTGAGTGGTTAAACAACCTTAAATTGCAAGATTTTAAAAAACCCCACACAGAAAATGGAAAAGGAATAACAACACAAAATAAATTGATTCTAAGGGCTAATACAATATAAGACTAAGGTCTACCATTGAGAAGAAGAATATGAAAAATGGTCTACCATAAAATGTTCCAAAAGTACATGCGAAAGTTGTTGTTAGATTAACGATTCCAATCCTTCGGACAAACAATTCCAATCCCTTATTGGAATAATAATACAATATTCGAATGGTAAAAATCATGAAAAAATAGATTAAATTTAAAGTCAAAAAAAAAAAAAACTACCAAAAAACAATAAGACGGATTAGTAAGGCACATAATTGAAAATCATTCTCAAGACGGCTTATAATAGCTTGAGTTTTGCTCATAAGGTAAATCGTACATTGCGATCTTTACCAAGAATAAAAAATTTTAAGCAGTCATCTTTCACTGTAAGCACTGTGATTAGAGTTTGGAATCTATAATTAGTTCTTTGTGATGCAAGAGCAGTTGTCTTTCTTCATCTTCATCCTTGAAGACACCCCCCGCTTAAACTGTATCACATCAGACATATACAATATGTATTAGTTTATAAAAATCATCCAAATATATTGTTATATTAAAAATATTGAATTTTGACATTTGGCACTAATGAAAAACAGGGGAAAAGGGGTACTTACCTTCTTCAATCAAATAATGTTCAAATGTTGAAATGATTCAAGGTTTATGATATCTCGCAACACAACGACATCTCGCAACACAACTCTTTGTGAGTAAATTGTACCAGCATATGAACAAAAGTTTACAGCTAAATAAGAATGGATCGTTATTCAATCAAAGTTACCATAACTAAGTTAATACGTTATTGATCAATGTGCTAATGTTAAAAAAAAAATCTAATGTAAGAAAAATTATGAAAAACAGATAATAAAGGCCCCTTAAGTTAAAAAATGGGTACCATGTTGAAGCAGTGCCGTTGTCTTTCCAATCCACAAACAATCGATGTGTATGAAATAGACCACAAGGGTCTCTTAAGAGGAACCATTCTACCAATTACTACTCATCGAAACCAAACAAAAACTCAGTTGGAACTATTGAACAACAGTTCAATATAACTAATAAAACCTTTTTAAAGGAAGATTGAGCAATGAAATCCACTGCTTCAACTCTAGATTTGTAGATGCTTGTATCAACCATCCAAATTAAAAATAATCACTTGTTCTATGTGATCTCGGTGAAAATAAAATACACTCTCTCCAAAAAAAATCTGCTAGATAAAATAAAAGCATCAAAATTTTTTAAGTTGATAAGAAGCTCGATTCTCATATTTGATTCGTCTCTCTCTAAACCCATTTTGTCTCTATCTTTGTCTCCTTTGTACAACAAAAGAAAGAGCAGGATGACCGATATGAATACATACACACACATTTATTTTTTGTTTTTCCTTTTTAAATAAAAGAGCAAGAGTTTGAAGAAATAATAAGGATACTAAATAACACCCACGGTGTGAAAAGTGCCATTAAATACCAAAGAACCAATAAAAAATGACATATGGAAAAAGGATAAAAATACAATAAAATAGCAAAATAACAAATGTTTAATCAAGCTTTTCATTTCATTCTTACTCATCCATTCCGTTAGTTAATGAACCAAACCTACATGCTAACATACCTGAGTATCAGCTCAATAGCTAACCTCTATTTCAAATGCAATCAATGAAATGAACTACATGGAACACGTTTAATTCCTATTATGAGAACCATAATAAAAATTAATTCAAGTTCCCAAAAAAGCAAAACATCTATACAAATAGAAATTGTTTTAAACATCCAACAAAAAATTGAATTAATCTATCGTGCTGTACATGGCATTATACCAACCAAGTT